CGGAGAGAGAAAGTAAAGGGGCCTCTCTGCAACGAGAAATAGGCTGGGCTTTTCCTGCGGGAGCTGTCAGCCAGTGAGAGAGCAGGGATAATCGTTTTTTTTTTTTTTTTTTCCGGGGAGGGGGTGCTATTTTTTTTTCTTTGTTCGGGAAAAGCCTAGTTCCTCGCGGAAAAGAGAGCTAGAAAAGAAAGAGAAAGTATCATCTTACCGGGGGGAGGGGGCGCTGCTAGCCATCTTGCACAGCTAATGAGAAAATAGGGAGTTAGTTGCAGGAATGCTAGCCACTCTTTTACGCCCTTACTATAATGTAATTATTGTTTTATTATTACTATTATTATTATTATTATTAATTTTTTTTTTTTCCTGTATTAAAGTTTTTCTGGTCGCCATCAGTGATGGAGATATATATAATAGTGGTTTGGGAAAAAAAAAAAAAAAAAGAAAAAAGAAAGAAAGGTATTTTTTTTTGGTTAGTAACCGGAAAGTACGACCGTGATGTGGTGCGCATGGATTAGAAAAATTAAACGGCAAGCAAGGGTGTGTGTGTGTATAAGGGGATTTCTGGTCCTTGTTGCCTTTGATGTCGCTGGTCGCTACCCGTCGTTGTACGGGGATAGATGTCCCAACCTCAGAGACAGATAGCTATCTCTCTCCCCCCCCTTCCTGTTTCCCCTCCCCCAACAACCCTCATTAAAGGGGGGAGGTGGGGGGGGGGTCTCAAAGCCGGGCGGAGGGAGGGGGAGATGCTTGCTTCTCTACTTCTTGGGCTCGTGGAGGGGAGTTTGTATGATTGTTACGTGCTACGAAGCATTAGTTTTTTATCAAACAAAAGTAAAAGGTTGTGATCGCGGCATGACTGACTACAGTTTGTTGGAGGAGAGCGCGGGTAGGAAGTTTGGGCCCTTCTAGATACGGAAGGTTCCTGAGATAAGTAAATATTTTTTCTCTTCTTTGAAAGAGGAAAACCGCGCGTCTTCTCCTGTTTCCTTACTGGGTCTTTCGTGGTGGTAGTTCACACAATTTTCTGTCCTGGCTCTTAAAACCCCGGGTTTTCCGTGATATTATTGTTTAATAGTCAAGGCAGAAGGAGAGCTTTATCAACATACTTTTCATTTCTTTTGATACCTGAAAGAAGAAAAGTCATTCGTATTAAATTACGAAAAAAAAAAAAAAAAAAAAAAGACGAAGGCAAAAATGGAAAAGGCCAAAAAAAAAAAAAAAGCAAGCTATAACGGAGGAGAAAAATAAAAGTGCAAAAAATGGCTTGTACCAATAAGATCTTGGTTTTTAGCTCTTACCCCTCAAATCGCGGAGGAGGGGGGCTACGAAATTGAGTGAGGCCTAGTGTTAAAAAAAATGAAGAGAAAACAACGGAGGTGGTCATTTTTAATGACTTCTCCGCCTTCCAAAAAAAAAGAAAAAAAAAAAAAATAAAAGTAATAACAGCAAAGAGGATGAGAGAGCGGGAGAGGGTCCGGATAGTTACTTTTCCTCGTTTTTCTTTTTCCTTTCACTTTATTCTTTTTTTTTTTTTTTCCTTTTTTTTTTTTTTGTGGGGGGCTTCGACATGGTCGATACCTGGTTGATCCTGCCAGTAGTCATATGCTTGTCTCAAAGATTAAGCCATGCATGTCTAAGTATAAATGGGAACATTAATACAGTGAAACTGCGAATGGCTCATTAAATCAGTTATAGTTTATTTGATCCATATCTACTTACTTGGATAACCGTAATAATTTTAGAGCTAATACATGCCCAAAAGGGGTGACTAGTAGGGGAGGGGAGGGGGGCAAAAGAGGGGAAAAGTTTTTTTTTTACTTTTCCTTCCGCACCCCCCTTTTCTCCCGGGAAACCCTGTATTTATTAGATACAAAACCATATGGAGAAAAGCCTCTTTTCTCCGTTTTCTAGGTGATTCATAATAACTTCACGAATCGCACCATGGCTTCCCCTTAGTCGGGGGGGGGCTGGCGATGATTCATATAAGTTTCTGCCCTATCAACTTTCGATGGTAAGGTATTGGCTTACCATGGTGACAACGGGTGACGGGGAATTAGGGTTCGATTCCGGAGAGGGAGCCTGAGAAACGGCTACCACTTCTACGGAGGGCAGCAGGCGCGCAAATTACCCAATCCTGACTCAGGGAGGTAGTGACGAACAATAACGATATCTTGACCTTGGTCAAATAATTGGAATGAGTACAATTTAAACCCCTTAACGAAAGCCATTGGAGGGCAAGTCTGGTGCCAGCAGCCGCGGTAATTCCAGCTCCAATAGCGTATATTAAAGTTGTTGCAGTTAAAAAGCTCGTAGTTGGACCTTTTGGGACCCAGACTTTATCGTTCGGTCTTGGAGTACTTCTCAACGTCTTCTTCTTCCTCGTTTTCTCCCCCTTTTTTTTTTTATTTTTTATTTCTTCTCCTTCCCCTCGCAAGGGGGGGGGGGGGAGGGGAGGAAAAGGAAAAGAAAAGGGGGGGGGGTAGGGGGGCAAGAAGGTTTCAGAGGAAGAGAAAGGCTCCTAGTACTGTCGAGCTGAGGTCCCAACCTATTGTATTTTTTTTCCCGGGGGAAGCAGGGGTCCAAAAAATGGGGAGGGTTGGGGGAGGGGGGGCGGTGGGAGTTTATTTTCCCACCCCACCGCTCCGTCCAACTCCTCTTCCCCTTTCTTTCGCCTCTCCTGGGGAAAGAAACAACTTTACCGTGAGAAAATTAGAGTGTTCAAAGCAGGCTTATTCCTTCCCTCCAAGATGGGGGGAGGTATAAAATTATTGCCTGAATAATGCAGCATGGAATAATGGAATAGGATCCTGATCTTATTTTTATTGGTTTTGAAGATCAAGATAATGATTAATAGGGATAGTTGGGGGCGTTAATATTTAGTTGTCAGAGGTGAAATTCTTAGATTTACTAAAGATTAACTTCTGCGAAAGCATTCGCCAAGGATGTTTTCGTTAATCAAGAACGAAAGTTGAGGGATCGAAGACGATCAGATACCGTCGTAGTCTTAACCATAAACTATGCCGACTAGGGATTGGTGGTTTTGTTACTAAAAGACGCCATCAGCACCTTTACGAGAAATCAAAGTTTTTGGGTTCTGGGGGGAGTATGGTCGCAAGGCTGAAACTTAAAGGAATTGACGGAAGGGCACAACCAGGAGTGGAGCCTGCGGCTTAATTTGACTCAACACGGGGAAACTCACCAGGTCCAGACATGGTAAGGATTGACAGATTGAAAGCTCTTTCTTGATTCTATGGGTGGTGGTGCATGGCCGTTCTTAGTTGGTGGAGTGATTTGTCTGGTTAATTCCGTTAACGAACGAGACCTTGACCTGCTAAATAGTTACGTGATTTTTTTTTTTTTTTTTTGGGAAAAAGTTTAAGGGAGAGGAAAATCGCAAGGGGGAGAGCTGCAAGCCGAAGGGGGGCGGAGATGGGGGCGGGGAGGGGAGCGGGGAAGGAAAGGGGAGAGAAGGAGGGGAGGTGGAAAAAAAAAAAAGAAGCCTCTTTTCTCTTTCATTCTCTTTCCTTTTTCCTCCCCCTCTGCCCTCCTCCCTTCCCTCCGGCTTTAGTCTTCCTTCGGGGGGAGGGCTCTCTCTCTTGTTTCCTCTCTTTTTCTCCCCCCCTTCCTGATTTCCCCGCCCTCCTCTCTTTCTATCCTCTAAGCCTCCTCCCCCTCCCTTCCCTTCTCCCTCCCTGAGTGGGGAGGGGCAGGGGGAGGGGAGGTGGTGAAGAGGTGGGGGGAGGGGCGGTGTGGAAGTTGTCAAAAGGAAGGGAAAGGAAAAAGTCACGGGGAACTTCTTAGAGGGACTATTGGTGGTTACTTAAAGACCAATGGAAGTTTGAGGCAATAACAGGTCTGTGATGCCCTTAGACGTTCTGGGCCGCACGCGCGCTACACTGACAAAGACAGCAAGCAATTTTTTTTCCCAATTTAAGGGGCCCCCTCCTTCTTCGATCTCCGCCCTGACTACATTTTCTTGGCGGGGGGGGAGGCGAGGGGGAGGCCCTGGGGAATTCCTTCACCGAAAGGTGCGGGTAATCTTTTCAAACTTTGTCGTGCTGGGGATAGATCTTTGTAATTCTTGATCTTGAACGAGGAATTCCTAGTAAGCGCGAGTCACCAACTCGCGTTGATTACGTCCCTGCCCTTTGTACACACCGCCCGTCGCTACTACCTATCGAATGGTTTAGTGAGGCCTTCGGATCAGTGAAGGGAGGGGGGATTTGTTGCCACTCTCCCATTACGCTGAGAAGTTGGACAAACTGCACCATTTAGAGGAAGTAAAAGTCGTAACAAGGTTTCCGTAGGTGAACCTGCGGAAGGATCATTACCGATTTACTTATAATCACTTATCCGTTCCACCTGTGAACTTGGGGAGGAGAAACAAAAAAAAAAAAAAAGCGGTGAGGGGGGTGGGCTGGGCTGCTCTGCTCTGCTCTGCTGAAGGCGCAAAGAGAGCGAGCCCAGCTTCCCCCCATTTCAACAAGTTCGCGTGTGGGGGGCTTTTTTATTTATTTTTTTTTTTTTTTTACAAGAAAAGGGGGGTGGGGGGGAAAGAGGAAAGAGGAAAGAGAGGGGCGTCCCCCCGCTCCCCTCTCCTTGAAAAAAAAAAAAAAAAAAAAAAAAAAGTTCCACGCATGCGGACGTCTTTGGGGCCCGACTATATAAAAAAGACCAAAAAAAATTGGTGGAGAAAGAAGCAAGAAGGGAGAGCCCGTTAGGTGCTAAGGAAAAAGTCCTCTTTTTTAAATGGAAGGGCCCCAACATCCAACATCCTTTTAGTTCCGTTTTTGGGGACAACTTTTTTCTGTCAAAAAGAAAAAGTATACACGGTTACGATGGTACCTCTCCTCTTATTTTCCTTTTTATAGAAGTAAAAAGGGGAAGAGTTATAGAGAAGAGGGGAGGGTGTCATCTCCAAGAAACTTGTTTTTGAAGTCATAAAAAAAAAACAAAAAACTAGTTTATTAAAGTTTATAGAAAAGAACAAACTAAAAAACAACTTTTAACGGTGGATCTCTTGGCTTGCGCATCGATGAAGAACGCGGCAAACTGCGATAAGTGGTGTGAACTGCACACGTGAATCATCGAGTCTTTGAACGCATCTTGCGGTCTTGGCGCCTTTTTAGCAAGATTGCCAGGACCATGCCTGTTTGAGTATCAGCAATATATACTTTTGTTTAAAAAGATTCTTTTTTTTTTTTTTTTTTTTTGTAAAGATAAAAAAAAAAAGGGTCTTTTGTCTAAATGGGGTTTGTCACACGGTGGGTTTTTGGCCTTGTGTGTCCCTTTAAGGAGAGGCTGGAATGGGGGAGCATTTTTCTCTGGTTTTTTTTTTCCAAGGTCCTAGTAATATGAAGTCATCGTAATGGGAAGAAAAGAGAGGGGGAGTACTCTCTGTCCTTAAAGCCGAAAAAAAAAAAAATAATAATAAACAAAGTCTTTTTCCTTCTGCTTTATAAGTGGCGGGTTGTGTGGGTAATAATTAATAGTAATTTGGGGGGGACCCACGCGTCCTATTCTTTATAAAGCTAGGAGGAGAAGAGCTGATGGGAATCCAAAAAAAAATAGTGGGGTAGGGGAAGAGAGAGAGGACACACGGACTAACTGGGAAAAATAAGGAGTCCTTCCATTTAAGGGCCTTTTACAACTAAAGAATAAAAAAGCTCAAGGCGGAGGAGGGGGAGGAGTTTACTAAAGCCTGTCTCCTCTGAGTACGAGCAAATAATACGACACAGTATCATGATCTCAAATCAGGTAAGGCTACCCGCTGAACTTAAGCATATCAATAAGCGGAGGAAAAGAAAATAACCATGATTCCCCTAGTAATGGCGAATGAAGCGGGAAGAGCTCAAATTTTAAAGCCGTGGTGCTGTTGATGGCACACGGCATTGTAATCTATAGACATGTTCAATCCTGTGGAGAGGGCAAACAAACGTAGTAGAAAGGGGGTGTGTGTGTGGGCGTTAAGGGAGAGGAAGGGAAGGGGGGGTGTGTGTGTGTGAGGGAGGAAAGGGGTGATAAAAAGCCTCTTCCTTCCTCGCAGGCACCTCTTTCTCTCTCTCCCTCTCTCTGACGCACACACACCTCTCTCGCTCTTCTAAACTGGCGCGACCAGCCCAAGTCCGAATGGAGTTCGGCAAAGTTTTTTTTTTTTTTATCAAAAACTTTTTGGCCAGAGAGGGTGATAGCCCCGTAGCGCTGGCGCTGGGAAAAGGGCCCTCTTCAAAAACTTTGGAGGCATGTTCAAAGAGTCAGGTAGTTTGGGAATGCTGCCTAAAATGGGTGGTAAACCTCACCTAAAGCTAAATATGGGCGCAAGACCGATAGCGAACAAGTACCGTGAGGGAAAGATGAAAAGCACTTTGAAAAGAGGGTGAAAAGACCGTGAAACCGTTAAAAGGGAAGCAATTGGAGCTCTTATTTGTACCTGGCGGTAATCAGCCAAGGCCCAGCATGGAGGGAGAGCGTAGCTAAAAAGAATAGGAGGTGGTGGGGGAGGAGGGGGGTTTATTACTCCCCTTCCCCCCTCGCCTCCACTTCTTTTTTCTTGACTGTACCGACCACCGGCTGACCTTGGTGCACTTGCTGTCTTTCCTTTTTGGGGAACGTACAGGTCAACATCAGTTCGTCTTTGGGTACAACCAAAAAGTTGAGGAGATGAAAGGGGGCCGCAGAAAGGTAGGGGTTCCTCTCTCTCGCTTTCTTTTCCCCTGCGGAAAAGAGGCGAGAACCCTTAAAGGGAGGAGCCGTGTTATAGTCTGCGCCAGCAAAGGGGGGGTAGCCGGATGGCCCTCCCCAAAGCGTAGGTGTAGTGTCCCCCAGGTGCCCACCGACGGACTGAGGTCGAAAATGGGGGAAAGCCCCTTAGTTGCAGCGCGCGTCCCACCTGCCTATACCATATATATATATATATATATATATATATATATATAGTGTGGTGGGTGGGCTAGCCCTTGGCGATATATCTTTTTTGGAGGTCGTTTGATGTTATAATATTATTATACATTGGGGGAAAGGGGAAGGGCATAAGCCGCGCTTAGGATGTTGGCAGAAAGAGCTTCAACTGACCCGTCTTGAAACACGGACCAAGGAGTCTAACGTATACGCGAGTCTTTGAGTGGCAAACTCGAGGGCGCAATGAAAGTGAACCCGCATTTTCTTTTTATTATTATTATTATTTTTTTTTTTTTTTTTTTAAAAAAAAAAAGATAATAAAAAGTAATGAAAATGAAAGGTGAGAATGGGTAAGGTGGGGGGAAGGGAAGGAGATTTTTTTTTTTTTTATCTCCCTCCTTTTCCACCCCCACTCTTTCCCCTGCATCATCGACCGATCCGGAATGGGGAAGGGAGGGAGGCGGCGAAAAAATAATTTTTTTTTTTTTTGGCCTCTCCCCCACTTCCAGCTGCAGGATTTGAGTAAGAGCGTATCCGCTAGGACCCGAAAGATGGTGAACTATGCCTGAATAGGGTGAAGCCTGAGGAAACTCAGGTGGAAGC